TCTAGCATTTATGTCTACTTAGAAAATAGTAAAAAAAATGCGGCTGAAGTTTCAACCTAGTTTATGTTTATTGACAAATAAAAAACATGTTCTGGAGACGTTAAGTCAGCTATGATTTTGTTTAAACAAATCTTCAGAATAAAAGAAGAAAGGTGATAAGGAAGAATGATGCCAAAGGAAATTAAAAATAAATTTACAAAAATAGAAGAAAAATAAAGATAAGAACAAAGGAAATAGCGGAAGAAGAGACGAAAAAAAATGTAAAAGAGATTTATGATTAAAACGACAAGGGAAATATGAAAGGGAAGAAAAAACAGAATGATTAGAGACGAAGGGAAAGAATTTTGAAGAGATTGTCTTGTAAACATTGACTTGTTCAAGGCAGAACATCATATAAGTCGGTATGTCGGCAAAGTTCGCAAAAGAAAACATCATATTTAACGGGGCCTCCTTTCCTTAAATTCTTTCATGTCTCTCTCTTACTTTGAACTTAGCAATACGCAAAAATCTTCCTGTAAACAAATTATATCTGATGTAATTTTTGAGATCGAGAGAAAAAGAATAAAATCCAATACTCTTGTAATTGAAGCTTTTTTTTTTACGATCAAGGAGGATATAACAAAATCTAATCCCGAAGAAGTGCGGTTGACTGGGTGCATTAATTCTCTTGCAGATATTGGAGTTTTTCGTAGTTTATACTATGTGGGCATACATGAGAAATACGAGTTAGTAATTATAATAAAAGCCCAAATCCCAAAACGATTAAACGATAAAAATGGACCTGTATGACATTATTTGAACGAACAAGAATCATAAATTTTAATGCTTATTGAATGAACGTATCTAATTAAGCATAACTGAGAGAAAATTGAAAGCTAGTAAAAATAATACGAAGACATTGAGTGGACGAGTTTATATATACATGTCAGTATATGTTGATAGATGCTAATAAAGAAGGGGACAGCATGCAATAAATAAAAGATTGTGGCCTGATTAACATCTTCCTTTAAGTAAACGGAATTTAAAAGTTTTCATCAGAAATCATCTTTCAAGGTCAGTGAAATGTTTGCCCAATCGGTTATAAACCGAGAATATATAATAATAATAATAATAATAATAATAATAATAAAGTGTATAAAAATAATACGTAAATTTTAAACCGTTTTTTTACTCTTGGAAATATGATCTGATGAACCAGAAAAAAACACTTACCTGGGGAAATAAAATATAATCAATGGACCTTTAAGGTTGTCTGTTTTCTAATTAAATTAAATTAATATATACATATATATATATATATATATATATATATATATATATATATATATATATATATATATAATTAAATTAATTTAAATAATAAAACAAAAATATTAATATACAACCCGGTGTGTTTGAAATTTTAATTTTTAACATTTTTTTATTGTTCAAGACATATATATATATATATAATGGAGAGATTTCAGAAGCCTTCGATGTAACAAATGGCATAAAACAAGGTTGTGTCATGGCTCCTGTACGTTTCACTCTCTTTTTTTTCTGCCCAATGCTTTTAGTGATCTTGACATGGGTGTAAAATTTGAATTCCTCACAAGTGGCGGCCTCTTTAACCATCAACCTTTTAAATCAAAATCGCTGACTCAAACAAGCATTATTCGTGATCTTTTGTATGCTGATGACGCTGCGAACGTGGCCATCTCAATCGAAGAAGTTCAAGCACTCGTTAATCCTTTGTCCACCGCTTGCAACGCATTCGGATTAACTATAAGCATAAAGAAAACTGAAGTTGTCCATCAACCAAGGTCTGCAATTAAGCAGGTCAAGGGTGTAAAACAAAAAAACACCTTTCTATACCTTTCCAATCGTTCCCTTTACTGTTGGCAGCAACAACCTGAAGTATGTGAAATTATTCACGTACTTAGATAGCAAAGTCAGTTCAAGTGTCTCTTTGGATGACAAGATAGTTAACCGAATATCAAAAGCAACCAATGCTTTTGGGAAACTTAAGCATCGCTTATAGGATGTTCGTGGGATTTCACTGAAAACCAAAATCAGTGTCTATCGATCAGTCAATCTCAGCATATTTCTTTATGGTGAGAATTGTGGACGCCATACAGGACGCACATCAGTCAACTTGATTCCTTTCATAAACGCTTTCTTCGTTCAATAAGCAGTTATACACGACAGGACAAAATCTCTAACCCTGATCTTTTCATCAAATATGGCGTCGGTGGTATTGAATCCTTTCTGATGCAATCACAGTTCAGATGGGCTGGTCATGTCATCAGAATGAGTGATGATCGGATGCCGAAAATCCTCATGTATAGTCAACTTTTTCATGATAAGCGTAATGTAGGCCGTCCTTGGTTACGCTTTAGGGACAAACTTAAATATATTTTTTAATTCTGCAAACATCCCTATAGACGAGAGAGAACTTGCTGTTGAAAACCGAGCAAACTGGAGAAACACCTGCTACCGAGGTATGACTAACTTTGAAAAG